CCGAGGGGAACCGGAAGTGTTGGGGGGCAGGTGGGTGGGGGTGTGGGGGTGGTCAGATTATACTTCCTTCAGCGTGAATCACTATTGCCTGCTGTATTTCTCTGAGTGCTGGCCGGCCGGTGGGGTCCAGAGAGGGTCACCATGCTCATGAGGAGTGCTTCTTACCAGAGACTGGGGGAGGTAGGTCTGCTAGTGGAGGGGGAAGGCTCTGTGGATTGGAATCGGTCAAGGGTGTGGTAGGGGGATCAGGACCTTGGCACTGCCTATCGAGGGCACCTGGGTCTCCAGGCAAGAGGACATTGTAGAAAGAGTGTCAGGAGAAAGGGATGTGTTTGTGGGAGACACTGGAGGGAAAGGGAGCCTTTGAAATAATGTGAGACAAGACCTCGGAAGAATAAAGAAAAAAATAAGTCCCTCCCGCACATTGACTACCTCTAAATTGGTTGATTTAGTGCAATTAGCTAGCCGTCACTGGCAATTAAAAATATTTTAACAGTAACAAATAGGCCGCCCACTTTTGTTACAGTGTAAATAACATAAAAAAGAAATTATAGTTGGAGATGGTGGTGGCCCACACCTTTTGATCCCAGCACTCAGCAGGCAGTGGCGGGTGCATCTCTGTGAGTTCGAGGCCAGCCTGGTCTACAAAGTGAGTTCAGAACAGTCAGGGCTACACAAAGAAACCCTGTCTCGGAAAGAAAACACAAAAAAGAAAAAAGAAATTATGAAATTGGCAATTGACAAAGTAGCAAGAACTATGAAAACTGCATCTGAGGAGATACTAAAAATGAATAAAAAAATCAATTTTTTTCTTTTTTTCTTTTTTTTTTTTTTCAAGACAGGGTTTTTCTGTGTAGCTTTTTGGAACCTGTCCTGGAACTCGCTCTGTAGACCAGGCTGGCCTTGAACTCACAGAGATTCCCCCGTCTCTGCCTCCTGAGTGCTGGGATTAAGGGCGTGTGCCACCGCTGCCTAGCCAAATTCAATTTTTAAAAGTAGATGCCAAAGCAGTATGAAGATAGATTCCTGGGCTACCTTCTTACTTTCCTCTCTTTCTGACAGTGCCTCCTTCTTCTGAATCTCCAAACAGTAAAATTCAGTATAAAAGAAAAACATCATGGCCCGTTTAAAGATAAAGCAAAAGAGATACAGAGTCCATGCTCTGCGGAAATGTCCGGTGTGCAAAGAGCCCTTGTCCTCAGGAAGCCTCCTCACATTGACCGACCACAGACTGCTCTTTTCCTTTTTTGTATTTTTGTATTTTTTAATGCTTGAGGTAAAAATGTCTTTATTCCTCAGCCAGTCCTAAAATTGCCTTTAGCACTGAAGCTGTGAAGCCTGGTTTGGCCTCAGTCCAGCTCCCCAAAGCCTAGGGGACTCCTTGGGTGACTGCTGCTGACAAGGCGGAGCTGAGCCTCTGTCCCCTCAGGACTGACGTTCCCGGGGCTCCTCCTGATCCATCTTCATGCACTGATGTTTATAGCTGAAGGTCACACTGGACAAAGGAAAAACTAACAGGAAAAGATGGCAGATTTGCTTAAATACTCCAAAATGGAATAGATATTTCCTAACGTCCACAAAACTGTAAATACAGGAGAATCATACAATCAATCTAGACTTTTAAAATGTGTAAATGTTGGTTGTTCCTTTCGTCTTTTATCATTACTTCATGGGGCCAAACAGTGGTCTTCATGATTTTAATTTGAGATATAATAACCTGTTCTACTGAGTCTGTTAAACATAGTCACAATAAACTCAGGGTCACCAACATCAATCAATGTCATACGAACGACACCAGAGACTTCTTTTCTGCTTGATTTGAGTAAGATCCATCCCAAACCAGAATTCTCCCGTCCCAGATTTCGTCCCTCTGTAGCTGGTGGTTCCTGGCCTGTCTGTAACCTTCTGTAGGTGGTGGTTCCTGGCCTGTCTGTAACCTTCTGTAGCTGGTGGTTACTGGCCTGTCTGTAACCTATCAGTTGTATAAGTCTGAATCTGTGTCCCCCTGGCTGCCTGAATGCTGTCTATCTTATCTATCTTGGGAATCTGTCTGTCCCAAACAACGACCTTTGCTCTCTCAGTTATTGACCAGCACAGAGAGCATCCAACATGGAAGGAAGGATGGACACGTTACAGAAATCTTCAGCAGAATTTTACAAGGGATTAAGTTATTTGTTCCAACTTATTTCTGAAGTACTTAGAAAAGCAAGCGTCCACTGCAAACATCACTACACCCATGCTGTTTCCAGCACTTATGGTGGATATTTATAGTCTATGAGGTTGCTCAAGCTATTTGATGTTTTCAACAAATGACGACCACTCATTAGATACACAGGTGCGTCACTCCTGGGTGAGGGCAAGGAAGAGCATATAATGTAAGATTACAGCTATGCATTAGCTGAGGTTGGGGAAGCCAAGGCAAGTGAGATTTGGTTGTTACATTGTTCTCTTAAAGGCAGGTTGAACAAATGGCTGAGTGCACAGTAGGATATCAATCTTAAGCAGTGGCTCTCAACCTTCCTAATGCTGGGACCCTTTAATACAGTTCCTCATGTTGTAGGAACCCCCCCCCCCCCCGACAATAAAATTATCTCATTGCTACTTCATAACTGCAATTTCGCTACTGTTGTGAACCATTATGTAAACATCTGACCTGCAGGATATCTGATATGCAGCCCCCAAGGCGATAACAACCCATAGGTTGAGAACCACTGGTCAGTCTTAAGTGACCTCAAGGTGTATTACTACCATGGTTGTCAGGTTCCAACGTAAGTTATAGCCTCATAGAATGCAAAAGATACTTTCATGTTGATTTAGCCACATTCCACAGAAAAGTTCTGTGAGAGAGGGAAGACAGAAAGAAAAAGAAAAGGTGAGAGCTGGCCAGTGATGGTACATGCCTTTAATCCCAGCACTCAGGAGGCAGAGGCAGGCAGATCTCTGTGAGTTCAAGGCCAGCCTAGTCTACGGAGAAAGTTCCAGGACAGTCAGGGCTGTTACACAGACTAACCCTATCTGGAAAAAAAAAAAAGCAAAAACAAACAAAAAAAGAAGGAAGGAAGGAAGGAAGGAAGGACAAAAAAAAAGAAAGGAAAAGGAAAAAAGATAAAGAAATAAGATTGCGATCCTGAGAACTAACAGTTTTGATAGACCCAGGCTGTGTTCCTTAATGGCTTTACCAGCTCTTCCTCTCTCCTGAAGACTGCTGTCCTGTCTGCTGTCCAGCCACATCTATGTCAGTTCCTAGGAACCATGCAACTGACAGGGACATCATATTATAATATGGACTTCCTATGCACGAGTGTGAAGCTTGGGCAAAGGGGGTACTGTGAAGGGGAGTTTCTGGAAGGAAGCTGTGTCTACAAAGCCTGATGTGCTGACTGGAACTACTGTGAAGTGGAGAGGTTGGAAAGGTGCAAGTCCAGAGTCTAACTGCAGTTTATGTTGGTCTATCTTAACTCCCTAAGCATTCTTTCCTTGCCCACCTGGGCAACATCCTGGGACTAACAGGGGGCGGGGGAAGCCTCTTGGAATGTATTAACAGAACTCTAGGTTTCACCACCAAAGGCTGCAAGCCTTTGGAGAGTGTCTGAGCCCTATTTTTGCCATCCCTCAGCTTTGTTATAGCCTTCATGTCCTTGGAGAAGGCCTTGACTTAAGACTTGCTTTGTTACATTGCTATAAAAGAAGTTCATGAAACCACTTCCACCTCAGAACATGGAATTTGGGGCAAATCTAAATCTGTGTTTCTGGACTTTACGGTCACTCAGTCTATCTCTTCTTCCCTGTGATGTGAGAGCTGTGTTTTCCCGTCAATAGTGTGAAGGTCTGACATGTGACAGTGGATACAGGTAAAAGATCTTCCCCTGAGGCCACAGGATTTATAGGCTGTCACAGGGCGTGCGGCAGAGTACAGCGTGGAAAAGATCACATCTGCCAGCATTACAGCTCAGATGGAAAGGCATCCTGGCAGCTGGGAGCCAAGGAATACCACAAAGTCACACAACACAACAAACCTCACACGAGAGATTCATTAGGAGGGAAAAACCCAAGAGTGTGGCTGCCTCTGCCCCGGCGAGAAACAGCAGCAAACTGAACAGGGCTTCTATGGAGTTTCTTGGGAAGGGGGTAGAACTTTTCACTGTGGAGCTTTCCAGGGTGGAGATGGGTGGGATTTCATGTCTAAAGATTGGGCTTTTTTATCCTGTAGGATGGGGTCAGGGTCCAGCTGTTAGGGCAATTAGAGTATTCTGCAGGTGGGATCTGTTAGAAGCCCTTGGGAGAGGGGCCTGGCCACTCTGTGCCTCCAGGGGTTTACGACACTTTGGAAAAGGAAGCTGGAGGAGGTGTGGGGGAAGGGCAGCTAAGACGCCTTCTCCAGAAGAGGGCCTTGGAAGCTTGGACACAAACTCGGCAGGCTTCTACAAGCTGGATGGCATTTTGTGTTGCTCAGGAGGCTGCAGGTTGCTGGGCAAGTGGCTGGTGACAGTACCGTCACCTCAGGACAGTGTCAGCCAGGTGTCTGGCAGCCTGTCGGGCTGCATCTGATGAACTGGCTCAGCCATGTGAACTCAGCAGAGCCCTGTGGCTAGAAAGATCCAGATGGCTATCAGAAAGGTGATCTCCTTATAAGCTAAGGAGTCCGTGGTCTCCTCCTCGGCTCTCATGCCTCCTGTCTGAATCTTCCTTATCTGCTCCGGGAGGACTGGTTCACACGGAGCAGCATTCTTCCTGGAGAAAAAGGGCAAAGTTGGCTCCATTTTCCACTGCCTCAGAGACCTCAGCCTCTCCCACTTCATAGGTGACCACCGCCAAGTAATGGACATGGTCTGGAATTGCAATTAGGCTTTGTGAAACTTGCTCTCCCTCCCTCCCTTCCTCTCCCCACCCCACCCCCGCCCCACACTGAGCAAATATATAAATAAATGGAAAAAAATACAAACCAACCTGTAACTAGAGTTTTCCTGCCTGGCCCACAGTCAGGACAAATCTCTCTCACCTGCCAGTCCCACAGCCGCTCAGACCCAACCAAGTAAACACCGAGACTTATATTGCTTACAAACTGTATGGCCGTGGCAGGCTTCTTGCTAACTGTTCTTACAGCTTAAATTAATCCATTTCTATAAATCTATACCTTGCCACATGGCTCGTGGCTTACCGGCATCTTCACATGCTGCTAGTCATGGCGGCGGCTGGCAGTGTCTCTTTCCGCCTTCCTGTTCTTTCTTTTTCTCCTCTCTGTTAGTCCCACCTACACTTCCTGCCTAGCCACTGGCCAATCAGTGTTTTATTTATTGACCAATCAGAGCAATTTGACATACAGACCATCCCACAGCACCAACCCATGGTATTAAACACTCATTAGCTCCCAAACCGAGGAGTCTATAAACAAACAAACAACTTGGGTACCCAGGCCCTGGTCACATTCATTCCTTCATCCTCTCATCCACAGATGTTCAAGCCCTTCCCAGGCACCTGGCCTCCCACAGAGAGCAGGCTTCACGGGGCCTTTGTTCTGAGGCTTTATTTATTTTTATTTTTGACATATGCTCTTTGCCTGAATGTCTGTCTGTGCCACTCCCTGGGTGTCCTCCTAGAGAAGGTTAGAAGACGACATTGGATCCCCTGGGACTGGAGTTACAGACAGCTGTGAGAAGCCATGTGGGTGCTGGGGATTGAACCCAGGTCCTCCGTAAGAGCAACTCTTTACCACTGAGCCATTTCCCTAGTCCCGACAGGGTCTTCACTCTAGTGGAGGGGAGACAGAGAAGCAAGGGCTTCCAGAAGGTTCAGTCAGGGGTTGGCTGCAAACGCAAAGGGAACAGAGCAAGAAAATAAGGAATGTGTGACCTGGGGTTTCCAGAGAAGGAGGTCGGGGTAGGCACCTCCCATGCCCCAAAATACTCCTGAGAGTGAGCAGAGGTGTGAGGACAATGAGGGGGGAGCCATGCAACTGAGGAAAGAGTTGCATGCAGAGGACACAGCTTCAGAGGCACTGTGGGAATGGGGTTTATGTTGCTTTCTTGCACCAAGTAGAGTGGGTGCACCCCGACCCACATACCAAGGCTGAGTGATGAGCACACATGCACAGGACACAGGGACCCAAGATTGACGGGTGTCCTCGCCTTTCTTCTAGCCTCCCTTTTAGCCTGCTGGACCTCAAACGCCGTGGCCCACCCATCTATTGAGGCTGTACCGCCCTCTCTTCCTGAAGGGGGAAATGTTCTTCTACGTGTTGATAACCAGGCAGAGAAGCTTCAGGCCTTTTTCTGGTATAAAGGGAAACGCGCCTTTGAAGAATTTAAAATTGCACATTATGAAACAGCCTCTCAATCACTTAAATGGGGGCGTAAATACAGTGGTAGGGAGAGGGTGTACACCAACGGATCCTTGCTGCTCCAGAATGTCACCCAGGAAGACACAGGAATCTACACCCTAGAAACATTTGGAACATATTACCAATGTGAAATAACACATGTCTACCTCCAAGTGTACAGTAAGTGACTCTCTGTGACCTGTGGGTGCTGGGTGGGGATCATTCCACTTAACACACAGGAGTGTCAGGGCTGCCCTGTGCCTACCTCCTCTCTGCCTTGAGTCCCCTCATTGGGGTTTGAACATTTAGTGCAGGACACACATGGGGGAGTTAAACCTCAACAGATCAAAATCCATCACCCAAATCCGTCCTGCAGAGGGGAGGATGTGCAGCAGGTAACTCAGCTAAGGACATTAGCCTCGGGCAAGACTCTTAGAACTGTCATTATGAACATGACACAGAGAAGGACTCTGAGAGACTCTGACAGGGCATGGTTGAGGAAAACATGGGCTCCTCACGCAGATGTGAGCACCAGGAAGCCCTGACTCCAGACAGAACTCTGTCTCAGACTCCACCCCAGGTGACCCTGGGGACCTTCTCTCCAGAGCTGGGATTGGACTTCCTTTTAGGGCTGACAGGGCCCAAGTTTTATTGGCTTGTGTAAGCAGCCAGCCCGCTGCCATGACAGCCATATGTAAGCTGGGTCCCCTGAGAACAGCACACAGAGCAGAGCTGGATGGGTGCCCAGGCCATCAGCCAGCTGTTCTCATAGGTGTGCGGGTACTCAGCTCATCATCAGGGGTCCATCCCACAGAAATCCCAGGCAAATGGTAATAGACGCCCCTGATTTGGGTAGCTCCCCCATCCCAAGGTCAGGTCCTTGTTTAAGATTAACTCACAGACATGGCAATGATCACTCGCCATGTGTCCTATTATAGGGAAACAGAGACCCAGTGGCTGAATCAGGGTCACTCAGGCCATGGGTGGCAGGTCTCCAACACAAGATGTCTGGCTGTAGCCTCGGCCCTGAATTCCCTATTGAAAAGGCCTTATTAGGTGCCCGTGGAGCCGGGAGGGGCTGGCTGAGATCTCTATCGCTGCATCTCTCATTTGGTCTCTTCTGTTTCTTCTACACAGAGATTGTGACACAGCCCACCATCCAAGTCAAGACCACTAGAGTGGGGAGACAGAACGCTGCAATTCTCACTTGCATGTCACCCTACACAGGAGTTGACGTCAGCTGGATCTCCAATAACAAGACCCTGGATTTCAACAGGAGGATGACGCTGTCCCCTGAAAAGCACAGGCTCACCATAGCTCCCCTCAGGCTGGAGGATGCAGGGGAGTATCTGTGTGTGATCTCCAACTCCTTCAGCTCCAAGAAGAGTCACCCCGTCTACTTGTTCTTGGTCAGTGTGTGATGTCCTCTCTCTTTCCTCACCACAGTCGGGAAGTTTCTTTCTCACCTGTGTGCAAAGTGGGTAAAGGTTCTAGGGAGAAGATCCTCGATGCAGACATAGAGACAGGCAGCATGGTCACATACACCTGTAATCCCCAAATAAGACACAAGTCAGGAGGAATGCCATTCCAGTCCAGTCACACAGTGGCCCAGTGGTGGCAGTGGTGCACGCCTTTAATCCCAGCCTTGGGAGGCAGAGGCAGGCGGATCTCTGTGAGTTCAAGTCTAGCCTGGTCTACAAAGTGAATTCCAGGACAGCCAGGGTTACACAGAGAAACCCTGTCTCGAAAAATCATTAAAAAAAAAAAAAAAAGACATCAGCTTGGGAACAGAATTCAATATTGGGGGTCAGAATTGCAAAGGGGTTAAGAAAGACGTAGATTCTGGATTAAATACAAACTGTACCTCAGGATCCATGGGGAACAGAGTTCAAGCACTCCCTACACAGCAAAAGCTTGTAGGTGTTCAGAATCCTCTACACAGAGAAACCCTGTCCTGAAAAACCAAAACAACAAAACCAAAAAAACAAAACCGAAAACGGAATCCTGTTAAAATGGTACAGTGACTACACAGAGTTCTAAACACATCTTCTCTCTCGTGCAAATTGCTTCTCTGGTCAAACGCCGGTGCTGCCTAGACATCAGTCATCCACGTGAAGTTGGAATCCTGATGGGAGATTGGGCAGGACGTGTTTCACGTGTAAAATGCCTTTGAACAGTTGTGGTCTGCAGGTTTTTTTCATCCATATACGTAAATCCATGGGTGAGAGGAGGGAGCTGGCTGAGCTTCCTGCCCAAGGCTGGCCTTTACGGTGAGATCTTGCCCCAGATCCCGTTTTGTCTTAACAGTTCCTGGTGCGGTGAATTACACTGATAGCATGGACCAATGTAGCCATTTTGAAGCAGAGTTCGTGGCATCAAGCACAGTCACGTAGTCGTGTATGAAGGGACTCTAGCCAGACCAAGCATGGCAAACATGGCTCTGGCAGGCCTTGCCCTTCTCTCCACTCCCTCTGCCTTTCTAAAAACAGACTACATTCTTAAAGCTAGCCACCAAGGCCTAGTCTCTTATTTGGCCTTCCTCCTCCTGAGGCTGACTACCAAGGTCCAACTATCAAAGTGTTGGAGCTCAGCAATCAAAAGTCCCCTTTGGCTGCCCTAATTAACATGCCCAATGAAAACTGAACACCTCATCTTAACACGGGGTTTCCCCCTTTTACCTTTATAAACCACCATTTTCATATGTGCCAAGCCTGTCTCCTCTCTATCCAGAGGCAGTCCTTTGTTCCCCTCCAGGACAAACACCCCTTCCCCTTCTCCCCGGTCCTCTATCTCTTGTCTTTGTCTCTTATCCCTGCCCTCTGTCCCTCTGGGGCAAATAAATCTCCTTGGTGCTGAGAACTTGGTCTTGGGGTGTCTTGAGGCGACTCCAAGGTTCCCTACAGTGTTCTACCGCAGGTCCTGCTCTGCCAGGCGACCCTGGGCCCATGGACTATTCCCTCCTTCCTGTGTGTTTACAGAGGGGATCTCTTCTTCCCAGTCCTAGGCACACTCTTCGTAACTACAAAAGAGTTGCCTGAGATAGCCCTGAAGGAGGCTCCTTCCACCCAGGCTGGGCAACCCTGAGAGCACCACACTTCCAGGACTCATCCTAATGCCTTCCCTCCTGCCTCTATTACGGACATGAGCACTCTCCCTTGGGGGCACTCTCCCTTGTGGAGACTCTCCCCGTCTTCTGGATGACCTGGGTGCTGTGTGCTGTAGTTTAGTGGCCAGAGAGAGTCACACCATACACAGAGTTCATGTGGGAGATTTACTGGGGGAGAAGGGAAGGGGGAGAGGGTACAGAAGCTGGCCTCTGGGGGAGAAGCTGCGGAGGAGACGGGGAAATGAGGGAGCTTGCTTTTTTAAGGGGGTATAGTGCATGCACACAGGGAGTACTCTTAGCGGCTGCAGCTGAGGACCCTGACCTGAGGTCTTCATATATATATATATATATATGAAGGTGATATATAATATCCATATATAATCAGGGAAGATGAGACTATACGGTTGGGTGATATATTGGAATTCTTTAATGAAGGAAGTAGAGTTAGACATATAAGACCCCAGTTTCTTTTTTCTCTATTTGAGAGAATTCACTTAATGAAAAAGAGACATGTACCTTAATCATACCATCCACCCCGACAACCCCTCACCAAGGGAGAACTGTGGCCAGGTTGGAATGGGTAGAGATGGAAGGGGTCCCATAGCGGAGCGGGATGAGTAACAGGGGGGAGTGAAAGTGGGTGCCAGAGTCAGACGGTTGGAACGGCCCATCACTGGAGGGGGGAAGGGCTAGAGGAGCTGAAGGGGCAGTTGTGTGCTGAGGTCTGCAGAGCGGGGGCCCATTAGCAGAGTCCTGAGAAAAGCAACTTAAGGGACAGCGTGTTTATCCGGTTCACGTTCAAAGGTGGAGTCCATGACAGTGGGAAGGTCACAGCTGGTCACGTGACCCCCACAGTCCACAGTGCCAAGTGTGCTTTCTCCATCTGCACGGTCCTGGAAGTCCTGGCCAGGGGGCAGTTCCACCCACACTGGAGACCGGTCTTGTCACTTGTACTAAGTGACCAAGATAATATCTCCAGACATTCTCCGAGGCTGCCCCCATGTAGATAAGCCCTCACAGGTGTGCCTGTGACCTGTCACCAGAGATTCTAGAGTCTTTCCAACTGACACCCTTAACCATGACAACCGCCTAGTTTTAGCACCAGTAGGTGATTAAAAGTTGCCCATGCTTGCATTCCATTACAGAACAATTAAATTAGAATTTGTGAACGGGGTTTACCATCATTTGAACAAAGGTCTCAATGATTCCAAAGTGTAGCTGTATTTTCTGCTTTCCATTAGATTTCTTTGTCTTCTGAATCCCTCTCCAGTGCTGGGAATCAAATACAGGGGCTGGCCTGAGGTGGTAATACACCCTTTTAATGCCAGACTAGCAGGCACATCTCTGTGACTCCAAGGTCGGCCTAATGTCCATAGCAAGTTCAAGGCCAGCCAGGGCTACACAGTGAGATCCTGTCAGAAAAAGAAAAAGAAAGGAACCTTAGAGATGGCTCAGTGGTTAAGAGCACTGGCTGTTCTTCCGGAGGACCCAGGTTTGGTTCCCAGCACCACATGGCAGCTGACAACCCTCTGTAAGTTTATTTCCGGTGTCTACAATGTCTTCTCTTGGCCTGCATGTGCCTCAGGCAGGTATACAAGCGGCACACAGACTTATATGCGGGTGAAACACCCATACATAAAATGAAAATTTTTAAATATGTTTAAAAAATAGAAAGGACAGAGCAGGGCATTCAAATGGAAATCTTGGCGGCTGCCTGGAAAGGGAGATGTAGCCGAGGAAGGGAGGAGCCAGGGATGTGAGTCCGACTTGGAGGTCAGCAGGGCACACCAACCACAGGGCAGACAAGCAGCTTTACTGGGAAGGGAGGGGGAGGAGCTTCAGAAAAGAGCGAAGAAGCCCAGAGTGTGGAAGAACGCAGGACCAGGCCATTCCCAGTGCCTGGAAGAAAGAGAAGTAGCTAAAAGCAAGGAAAAAGGAAAAGCTATGCATCTCTAGATGACTTTTAGAAAGGCAGGCAGGCAGGGTTGGCCCCACCTCGAGTCGATGGATTGGCACATGGCTGCGTTGGAGCACACTGTGCCAGAAACAGATGAACGCGTTTGTGTCATTCCGCAATGTCAGAATCCACAACATGCAGGGGTTTCAATGACGGCAATTTGTCATCTAATCCACCCGCCTTGGTAGCTTGGCTGAGGAGAATGGGGGTTCTTCTATTCTCATCTTGATTATTAATAGGCGCTCTCACATCACACTGCACACGGTAAATGTATCTATGTGTCTGTGCGCATATACGCGGGTGACAAAGTGATGCACGTTAGAGGCTGCAGAAGTGGGCTACAGAGAGTCCGCATTGATAAGGAAGCAGACTGGATGCATGCAGCTCAAAACTATTTAGGAACACATTCCGCCCAATGGACAATGTGACTCCGGCCGCCATTCCTCACTTTACACGTATGTCTGTTGTCTAGACAGTATTGGTATTAAGTATCAGAAGTGACTGGAGCAGGTGAGGGATGTGTTGAGCTCCATGCAAACACTATACCCTGTTTAACATGGGACTTCAAGAGCTTCCACAGTTTGGGGGGTGTGCTAAGCTCCTGAATTCCGTTCCCCACGAATTCTGAGGATTGACTATGCATTTGATTTGGACCCCAGGCTCTTCTTAACTCCTTTGCATTTCTGTTTTCTGCTGGCTTTTTTTAATGGCTTAGTAACTTTGGCCAAGAATGTTTCTCCATTTTTCACACCATTGATAAAGAGTTTCCCCCACAGTGGGGTAGGAAGGGAGGAGGGGTCACTCACTGATCACAAACATGTAAACTCAGTTGCTCCCCTTGGACATGAATGTTTGAAGGGCTTACACTGATACCCCCGGCATCTGCCCTCAGACAGCCATGCCGAGCCTCCTCCTCGTGTTCATTTCCAGGTTCTGGTTATTGAAGAGGCACAGTCTGTAGATTCCAGTGTCAGCTCTCAAGCAGGTGAGGGAAAGAGAGCCCCGCTCTTGGACTATGGTTTTTGTGACTCGGAGTGAGGGTTGTGCCACGGTTTGTGAGGGAAGGGGAGGGGACTGAATGGGAGTAGTCCATGTTCACGGATCTCAGCCATCTCTCTCTGGTCCCCAGACACCTAATAAGGCTTTGGGGCAGAGGAGTTACAGCTAAAGCTGTAGCATCCTGTGCTTCATTATATCTGCTGCCTGTGACTAATGCAGCACTGTGTTTTCCATGTCTTAGTTTCCGTATTAGAGGACACAAGGCAAATGGCCATTGTCGTGGCTATAAGGTAACCTTAAGTATGATCAACGACCTGACCTTGCGACAGCAAGGCATCCCAAATCAGCAGTCTGTTACCATTTGCCTGGCTGTGAGATTTCACTAAACTGGACCCCTGAGTACAAGCAGTTGCCAAGAGGACATGTTTCTTAGAAGTCCACCAGAGCAGTAGGCCGAGAGCCTGGGCACCCATCCAGCTCTGCTCTCCACACTGAGTCTCAGCAGAAAGAGATGGCCAGAGGACCCAGCTTACATGTAGCTGTCATGGCAGTGGGCAGGCTGCTTACACATGCCAATAAAGCCTTGTTCCCTGTCAGCCCTAACAGGAAGTCCAATTCCAGCCCTGGAGGGTTACTTGGGGTAGAGTCTGGGACAGAGGTCTGGAGCCAGGGCTTCCAGGTACTCATCCCTCTGTGAGGATCCCATGGCTTCCTCAGCCTGCCTGACTCCCACAGGGCCATGTTCATGGTAAGAGCCCCAAGAGCCTGGGCTGAGACTGACCGCTTTGGGTTATCCAGCACACACCGCCTCTCTGCAGAGTGGAGTTAGGTGAAGGACTCTGATGCACCTCCACCATTAAATGCTCACACCCACCCACCACCCACCCTCCCACCCCGCCGTGAGGACACAATGCAGAGAGGAGGGAGACCCAGTTCAGGCCTTACAGTGCTGTGTGTGAAGTAGAATAAACCCTCTCTAGCATTTAGACATCAAGAGCATCATTCACTGTGTGTTCAGAGGTAGGCATATGTATTCAAGGTTTCTTCCATGTAGAGCCGTGTTTTCCTGGTTGATATTCCAGAGCAGCAGGGACCTACTGGCGTGTATCATCTCTCTACCGCTCCCTTCAGCCCCTAGTTCATAAGTGAATTAGTGGCTATTTCCTAATTTATAATCTCACGGCCTATATGAACGTGGGCTACTTTGTCCAAGTCCAAGGCTGGAAGAGTCTCTGACTGCCTATGAATAAAATCTGAGCAACATTCCCCTTTCAGCAGCAGAGAATCGTTATTTCTTTAGTAGTCCGCTGGGCTGTGGCGGCTGAGTTCCAGTGGGTTAAAAGCCAGGCTTAGAAGGAAAGTGAAAACACTCATCAATACTGGGTCTGTGCGTTGTGTTCATCATCCAGCCTCGGTGTGTGGGCGGGGGCGTGTCCATCCTGTTTGGTTCAGGATGGACCTGAACCCCATTCCCACAGTGCCCTTGAAGCTGTGTTCTCTGCATAGACCCTTTCTTCAGGTGTGGGCCCTTTATATTTGGGGTGAAGGATGCTTTCCCTGACCTCCTCTTCCAGAGACCCTGGGTCATCCCTTCCGGTTTTAATTCTCTGTTCCCAGTGTGTTTGCAGTCAACCCCTGGCTGTACCTTCTAAAAGCCCTCAATGCTCTGCCATCTAGTCCATTAGAACCAGGGCTTTGTGAGGACAAGGGGCTAGACTGCTGTTTGGGAAGGCCATGTACCTGGGAAAGACTTGGATACCTGTGAGTGAGTGAGTGAGTGAGTGAGTGAGTGAGTGAGTGAATGAATACTCAGGACCCTGGATATCCTTAGGTTTTATCACAAAATTTTCAGTTTTGTGACTAATGAATGTGTCTAAAGTCTTTAATACCTAGTTGGATTTAATTTTTTTCGTATTTTTTGGGGGTGTGTGCAGACACACGTGAGGGTTATGTGATGAAATTTCATGAAACCTGATTAAAATTCAAGATCACGTTGATTTCTGGCAGCAGTCACCAGACAAGCAGAGAGAGGCTAAAGTCTGCCTTCCCAACCTCCTCCTCCTTCCTAGAGCAGTGGTTCTCAACCTGTGGGTTGAGACCCCTCCTGCTTGTACCTCCGAAGTGCTGGGATTAAAGGTGTGCACCACCACTGCCCGGCTTCTTTTTGTGTTTGTTTGGTTTTGTTTTTTGGGACAGGGTTTCTCTGTGAAGCCCTTGCTGTCCTGGAACTCTGTAGACCAAGGCTGTCCTTAATTCAAAGATCCGCCTGCCTCTAACCTCCCGAGTGCTGGGATTAAAGGCACCACTATCATCCAGCATTGTCGTGGTGTTTCATCATAGCAATAGTAACCCTAACCAAGACAGGGATGCAGGGCCAGTCTGAGAGGAAACAGACTATGTAACAAACACATGAGGCCTGTGTCCTTGGTCCTAGCACTCTGTAAGCAGAGGCAGGTGGATCTTTGAGATATAGGCCAGCCTGGTCTACATAGGGAAACTTTGTCTAAAAAAAGGAAAAAGTAGAAAAGAAAACCTTAGTGCTATAATCAGACTCGCACATTAATTTTATCTCAGGGTACCGATATTAGACCTTGCAGAGTTTTTCAGCCTCTTTCTACAACATGCTTTGATCCTTCTAACAGGATTTTCCTCCATTTCCAATTTGGAACAGTAGCTGACAATATGCTGCCCTCTCTCATTCAAAGGACTGATTTCATTAAAAAAAAAATCTCTTTTCATACAATGTATTTTGATCATATACTTTCCCCTTCCCCAACTCCTTCCCTACCCATCCAACTTCATATTCTTTTTTTTTTTCTCTTTCTCTCAAACAAAAATAAAAAAAACAACCAACCCATACTCAGGTGGCAGTGGCGCACGCCTTTAATTCCAATACTCAGGAGGCAGAGGCAGGTGGATCTCTGCGTTTGAGGCCAGCCTACTCTACGGAGCTAATTCTAGTATAGCCAAGGCTACAGAAACTCTGCCACGAAAAACCAAAAAATAAAAAATAAATAAATAGGGGACTGGAGGGATGGCTCAGTGGTTAAGAATATTTGCTGTTCTCATAGAGGACCCAGGTTCAATTCCCAGCACCCACAAGGGTGACTCATGACCATCTGTAACTCCTAGACACTCATGTAATGTGTACATTCAGACACATAAGATAAATATTTTTTAAATTAAAAAAATATTTAGAGTTGTATCTTCTTTTTAAATTCTACACGTACAGGTGCTTTGCCTGATGTATATCTGGGCACCATGGGTGTGCCTGGTGAGTCTGGAGGCCAGAAGAGACATCAGATCCCCTGGAATTGGGTTTACAGACGGCGCTGAGCCATCTCTTCAGCCCCTAGAACTGTATTGTACACAGATTTGGCTAAGCTGTGGGCCTTGTAAAACCTGTCTGTTCATTTGTTTGTTTTAAAGAGGCAGTAGTGATTTAAATCCTCGCCA